AATTTTTAAATTTGTTCAAGCTGGCATGTGAAATTTAACTTGAATTATTGGCCAATAGGCTCAGCATCATCACCCTCTTGTTTACTTTGACGTCAATGCCTCATCTATCTCACTCGTCCACTTTGATTCACTATATTTATAGTACACTTGTACCATCATCATACAACCCAGACATTTTAACGTCAAGAATATCAATTTTTTTTTACTTTAACATAAATAAATAAATATGCAAGAATTATTGTTCAGTTTGGTCACCTTAAATTACTTCCCGTTTTTTAAAATTAACTCAATTTTCTAGTACATGACCTAAGAATTTCCCATTCATAACCAAGAAAATGAATCTCCAGCTAAAAATCTTCACTTGGAATTTTTTCATTATTCACTATATATGAACAGCACATCCCCCCCGCGCCCCCCCCCCCCCCAAAAAAAAAACTTGGTACTGGTTAAGAAGAATAAAAAGCAACGACACCAAATGTTCTTATTCTGAGAATATCATGAAAGGATTCTTGAAAAAAATTAGTATCTGACTAGGATTTCAAATAAGAAAATATTAATAATTAATAAGAGAAGTTTATGTTTTAATATAGTTCAACTTTTAATATACTAGGACTATATGGTATTTGCTTTCCACTCCCGAGCTTCTTGATGTATAACAGCTAAACTACGCAATACTCTCCCCCCTTTCTGACAAGATTCTTCTCAATGTTTGAAGAATCCCAGGTTCAATTTTCAAATGTTCATATTAAGTTATTAAAGTATACTCTTTCACAGTTCAACATCATATGATCAATTTTTTCTTTTTGAAGAAGAAGAAAAGAAATCTTTGAGCCTCCTTATTAGTTATTACAAGGTTGTGGATAAAAGATAATGAAACGAGTCTCACTGGCGTTAATAGCCTAACATAATCTTTAAAGTTGCATAAAGGATTGGACGGGACTGAATTTTAGTATCAGGTTAAGCAATCTGTAATTCGGTTTGGTCCTATGATAACCCGAAGATTATCATGATCGGATTTGGTCTATAGAATTGAAAGGCTAGTCCTGTTAATCCAATATTCACTTAGCCTTTTTTTTTCATTTTTTTTCTCTATGATAAGCAATAATCCATTTCAATCTAATAAACTCAATTAAGATAATAAAAACAATTATAATCATAATAAATTCATAATGATTTCTAACATCAAGAAAAAAATATTTCAGTTATACTCCAAACTCCAAATGATTTAAATATATAAATTCAACAAAAACACTCAACAAAGTTCAACACTACATTACATCTGTCATATAATTATCTCATTAGCTTCAACAGAAACAAACTCAACAAATCTTCAAATGATTATCTCTTTAGTGTCAATAATACTTGAAACATTTGTCAAAAATAAATTATATACACATACATAAAGTGATCAGTAAGTGTAAAAATGCAATATATAAATTAAATTAAGAGACATAAAATTAAATATATTACCTGCAACATTAACCACATTGTTAATCTCTTGAAAATTGTCAACTTCATGAAATATAGAGACAAACTCTAAGAGAGATTGCCCTGCAACAAGCCAATTTTGGGCATAAATGAGTGCTTCAGTTATCTTAGGAGATAAAGAACTCCTATAATCATCAACAACATGTCCTTCAATGCTAAAAGCTAATTTAAAAGCAACTGTAGATACTGGTATAGCTAATACATCTTGCGCTATCAAGGAAAGCACTCTGTACTTGGTGGAATTAACCTTTCACCATGTCAAGATATCAAAATCATCATCATCATCATTAATAGGGGTGTCCTTAGATATACTAGCAGAAAAGTATCTATCCAACTTTGATTGGGTATCACCTGATGAGCTTTTTTGCTTCTGAGATGCTAACCATCTATGACTAGAGTCTTTTTTACCTTTACTTGCATTTGAAGTGTTGGTGTTAAGAGCACTTAGAGAGTTAGCACTACCAGAACTACTTGTATTAGGACCAACTATTGTAGAATATTCCTCAAATAGGCGATACAAAGTGTCTCTTGCCTTGTTCTTCATGGACATGCAAAGGTCAATGTCAGGAAAAAGCTGATCAAATACATGATTGATATAGGCAAGCTTGTATCGGGGATCGAGAATCACAGCAATAATTAACAAAGGGTTCAAATTATTTGCTGCCCCTAATACTTATCATACTTATTCTTCAAGCCCAGACATTTCTCTAAGAAGAGGGTCATCACTTTCAATATTCTCATCTAACAACTCTTGAATTAAAGCAATTTGATGGAAGCATGTATGTGCAGTAACTTTCAATGTGCTAGAAAATTACAAGATGACATCATAAAACACCTTTAAAAACTTAAGAAAGAACCATGCTTTATTCCAAACTTGTTGTTTGGAGAGCCATTACGCTTAGGAGGAGCTTGTCTAGAGTAAGCAAAAGCATCCATGTTGTGATCGAGTCTAGCACCTTGCCTATAAACATAGGCATCCATATTACCATCTAAACAAGAAAAGTCACACTAAGCAGGACGCTTTAAACCTTTATTGAAGTATTTAACAAAATCTTTATCTTCATCCTCTAATCTTTCAAATACCTTTTGAAACTTCAAAGCCACATCCAACATTAAATATGTGGAATTCTATTTAGTACTGACATCGAGGCAAACAATACTTTTTGTGTCCAACATTTTCAATTCACAAACATCTTTAAATCTTTGCAAGCGAGAAGGAGATGAACGAACATATATAATAGCATTTCGAATGAACTCAAAAGTATCTTTCAACTCCTTCAAACTATCATTAACAACTATATTAAGGATATGTGCAGAACATCATAGTTGAAGATAATCACTACCACAAACAAGATCCCTCCAATTCTTTAGATGCCTTTTAAATAAGACAAGGCTGTGTCATTAGAAGTTGCATTATTCATGGTTTTGGTAAACATATTTTGTATGCCCCAATCTGATAAGCACCTCTCAATTGTTTTGTCTATCGCATCACCCTCATGATTCTCAACCATGCAAAAACTAAGAATTTTCTTATGCAAGTTCCAATCATTATCAATGAAATGGGCTATCAAACATAAGTAATTGAAGTTTTGAATTGATGTCTAGCAATTTATAGTAAGGCAAAGACGATTAGTACACTTCTTTAATAAATTTTTCAAGATTTTAATTTCACCAAGATACAATTGCTAAGCATCTCTAGCCACTGTTATTCTTGAAGAGACTTGAAATCATGGTTCTAACTCCTTCACAAACTTTTTAAAGCCTTCCTTCTCAACAAGCCTAAATGGCATCTCATCACATATGATGAACTCAACTAGAGCCTTGCGACATCATTTTTGATTGAACATGTGAGATACTAAGCTTTCCTTTTGCCCACTTGGTGTCACATAATTCAACATAAATGGCTTTGTCATTTTTGTAGCTTTATGTGAATTTTTAGGACACTTTGGTACATGCCTCTTCAAGGATGTTAAACCATGCTTGCATGGGTCATAAGTATAATCTAAATTACAGTATTTGCATGCAGCTCTAACTCCATTTGTCTCCTCCAATGGTAACTTGGTAAAGTGTTCCTACATTGTTGATAACTTTCTTGCAGAATTTTTTCTCTTTCTACTACTTTCTGTAGCTTCATTTTCAGTCACAGTTGTAAGAGGAGGAAAACATTCCATAATAGTTGGAGGTTGAGGAGGAGGAGTAGGTGTCAAAGATGGTCTAGAAGGAGTTGAACTCACATTTTCACTAGTAAAAGGAGACGATTGAGGTTGGTCAATGCTAGATGTTTACTTAATATCCATCACTTCATAATAATAAAATATAATCCAGAGCATAATTTTGATGAGTTATAACAGCACAATGATAAAAAGGAAGCAAAATAGATGAGTTATAACAGCACAAAATCATGGCAGGAAACCCAAAAACCCAAAAATGAGAGCATATAATTGATAAGGTGATTATTAATAAAAATCAACCCACAAAAATGTCCTTCGAACATATCAACACAGATATGGGGAAAAACTATGTAACAAATTTCAATTCATATTAAGGATCGTGTAAAGTGATCAAGTAGAGTCAAGGGGAAAAAAACACATCCACTTCAATGGTTTTTCACTGATTTGGTGATCAAGCAGAGTCAGGTAAAAAAAAACAAAAGAAAAAAGAACAAGAATACGCTAGACTTGGGTCAACACAAAAAACCTTTACAACTACTTTTCAAGTAAAAAAATGAAAGAAAGAAGAACAAGGAAATGCCAAACTTAGGTCAACACAAGAAACTTCTATAGCTACTTTTCAACTGAAACCTCTACAAGAAACTTCTAAGAAGATGAGAGCAGTAATACTTGGCGATGGGTAGCAGGACGTGCCTGGCGAGTGGTGACTGTGTGCTTGAAGTTGCGAGAATGGCGGTGAATCAGAGGTTAAGGGTGATGGAGACCAAGGGTGGGGTGATGGTGTGACGTGCTCGACGGTGAATCAGATGCCAGAGGCGACTATAAATGCGACCGATGATAGTAATGCATTGGCGGAGCAGCAGAAGGTAGGAGAATGGCTTGAGCGAGAATGGAGAGCAACGAATCAGAGGTCAAGGGTGATAGAGATTGGAGAGAATGAATTAGAGGTCACCGAAATAAATGGAGAACAACGAATCAGAGGTCATCGATGCAATTGACGGTGGCGCACTGGAGAAACTAAGAATGAGTGCCTGTAGCTTACTTAAGACTCAAAGTACGTGGCGTGCTGATACTGTTGTGTAAAACTGACTTTTTTTGCTTAAGATAGTAAGACTAACTTTGGCCAAAAAAAAAACAATAAGATTAACTTATTAATTAATAATTTATAAATTAATTTTAATTATATTAAAATAATTATATAGGACCAGATTGGATTACTTAGTCTAGACACTTGGTCTCTAATTTGATCTTACGTGAAAAATCAGTCCTGCCTTTTTGGTCTTATAGAGCCAACATTTTATAAGACTAGACAGAATCAAGTTTTCACGGGCTAAACCGGGTCGGACCAGACCATGAGATTTTTGCACAACCCTAGTAATCTCTATTGAATTTGTTCTTATATGCATTCCAAAAAAAAAAACCTTTCATTAGGTTTTCCATATTAACTGCTCTTCTTTTCTCAGAATGTTCTCAGATTCTGTTTTAACTCCCTGAAAAACATTTGATACAAAGCTTCCGTCCTAAAAAACTTCCGGTGAGAGAGATCCAGAATCAGCCCCTCTGATCAGGATAAGAAAGGAACAGATTGGTGACACTATAGTATTTTGACTCATTTAATATGTACTTCACTTCGTAACACTGCAAAACCCAGTGTCATTGCCTAAAGCTCTGAGTACAGGCTTCTCTCTTGTTTCCCTGAATGGTATATCTCCATTTAGAACTGAACTGATAAAATTCTCTACTTCCTCTGTCGTCGTTTCACCCAGAAATGAAGTGAACTTCCTTCTTTTAGGTTTGTAGGCAATCAAGAACATATCTGATGACTTAAATCCAGTCTTATCAAATGCATTAAGAAAAGAAGGTTGCTTTGCAGCATCCAGAAGAGTATAAGAAATAAGGTCCTTAGAGCCTGTTGCTTGGTTTCGTTGCCTTGAGAAAGATTTCTGAGAGACCTGAAATCACAAACATCCAAATTCTGATTAGAAGATTGGATAAATAGAACCTAGAACTGTAACCTCCTGCTTTGTTTCTCCAAGTTCCAATTTCATTTAAGGTTCAAATGTATTCACTGCCTTCTTTTCAACCTTAACTTAAATTTCAAATTTCAGAAATCCATGTGATTCCCTTTGATTCAAATCAAGTTGACATGAAAAGAGTCAAGAGCAATCATCTATTGAAAATGTAATAAAATCCTCCATCACTTTCAGCTGATAAACAGAAAATTCCTTTGCTACCTAATTCCATGTATGGCCGTTTCACTTCCACCCATAACCTCCAAGTCCCACTTCTCGAGGACAAAAGGAGAAAGAAATGACAAGAAAATCCCTATCAGAAGAGCATAATCTTTTCCTGTTTTTGAAGAAAATGTTTTACTCCTCCTTACCTATAATATAAGATATCTTCTAAAAACTTTGCTTAGTCCAAAATATAAAATACTGGATAACTTTCATAATTATTTTTTCCAACTATACATTTACTTCATTTATTATTATTATTTTTTATTTTTTATTTTTTGAAAAGAATGATGCATGAAATTTTAACTATCATTGTCAAGTCATATAAGGTATTTAATAAAGATAAATTTTTAAAAATATAAAATTTTTTTAAGAAATTAAAGTTTCAACTAACATTTTTTTTTTTGCTTTATATTTTGATTCGGAAGGAGTATCTTCTGATAGGTTTGATTATATAAACTGGTACATCACTGACATACATATATCGCCCAGCCCCAAGTCAAACATCTTATGTGTCTGTGAATTACTCTCAACAAGATTTTAACATTCAACTAAGAACTAAAGGGTAAATATAATTTGTTCCCCTTGGTCAAAGAAGAGTTATACCCATATGAAACCTTAATCATGTGAAATATACACTTACCACAGATAGGATTTTTTGCAGCTTTTCTCTAGATTTAGAAGATCTAAAGGCACCAATTATGCAGACTGGGGTTCTGTCGCCACATAGAACATCAAAGTTTGATCGAGAAAGGAATAGTATCTCTATCTCATCCGACTCAGCGGCCGCGTTTTTGTCCTGTCTTGATGTTGCCTTTTTGCTTATTTTTTCAAAACTATCAAGTACGTTACCGAGATCATGAACTGCAGATTTTATATCTTTTACTGAAATCCCTGCTTTTAGAATCTGCTTCTCTCCATTAGGTAGCCAACCTACTACAGCGGGGAGTGCATCAACTCCCAGCTTTTTCACTCTTGGATCGGAAATATCACGAACCTGCACATATTAGCTAAAACATTAGATCTTCCTTCAAAAAAAAAAAAAAAAACACACACAAAGGCATCATTTTCCCCATAGAATGTTAAATTTTTTCATATCATCTTATAAAAGTGATCACCATATACGTTTATTGAGAACAATCATCAGCCTTCCATGAATATACTTAAATTGCATCCCCTTGACCTTGCAGGCAGTAATTAAAACAAAAGGTCCGCATACAATTTACTGGAAATTTTATGGCCCCTTCCAACTCACTCAAATAGAACTAAATAATGCAGGACAAAGGACTAGACCAAACCCAACAGGTCAAAATAAAAGAAACATACAAGAGAGGTTCATAACCAGCAGCATTAACATACCTGGACATCACTGAAAGTAAAGCGCTTGTGATACAGGCCACTAAGAACCCGCCAGATTACTGGAGTGTCTTTTTTAGTGGATAGAAGCATCACCCCAGGCAACCTTCCAGCAGCTCTAAATTCATCAAGAGAATTCAAGTCAGTCCGCTTTGATAACCTTGGCAGGTGATCTTGACAGAAAGCCTTTAAATTTTTAGCAACCAAGTCACCACTATATTCTACCAAAGAACTCTCTTCATTTCCCTTGTACGAGTAAACAAAAACCCTAGGAACTCTTCGGGGATACGTGCCATGCAACTGACAGAAAGAGGCCTCCTTTCCACAATCAATACTTCCAACCTGTCACATAAAAGAGAAATAAGCCAAGAAACTCCAAAAAATTAACAAAATAGAGAATAAGAGAAAATAAACAAAAACCTTTATAGCTCCTTGCAGTGAACTGAAGACATCATCTATAGTGGATTCAAAGTGTTGAAGACCCTTCAATGAGGGTGTATAAGATAACAAAAGCCAAGTCATGCCTTGACCAAGTATTTCTTTCTTGAAGATTTGTGAATTTATCGCTCTAAAACTTTTAGGGGAACTCTTGGATCCAGATTGAGAACCAGTTGAGCTGCCAAAACCACCAAACTCACTCCCACCACCACCTCCTCCACCACCAAAAAAGCTACCAAAAAGGTCATTCAAACCAAACCCAAAAGAATTAGGACCACCAGACCCACCAAAGGAAAAGGAGAATGACTTAGAACTTCCCTGCCTACCCATATCCTGCCATTGCCCTGGTCTGAAATTAAACTGACTTTGTCCTGGTCCACCACCAGTGAAATAAGTATATCCACCCTGACCTCCAGGTTGGCCAGCTCCAAATCCAGGATTGACTTTCTCATCACCATACATGTCATAATTCTTCCTTTTCTCATCATCAGACAAAATCTCGTATGCTGTTAAAGGGGAAAGGGCAAAAAAGTGAGCACATCAACTAAGAAATAAATTGAAAAGCTAAGCATTCAGAATAGCATGACAAAGGAAGCAGCGGCTGCATTTCCGCAAGCGGGCCAGAGAAAGAGAGCAATTTTATTTCTTTACCATTGTTGATCTGAGCAAACTTCTCCTGTGCACCCTTGTTTTTGTTCTTGTCCGGGTGATACTGGAGAGAGAGCCTGCACAACAAAATATGAGCAAGTTAACAAAAAAATGCTTGTCTGATTATTGACACCCATTTGCTATTTTAAAGGCAAGAACCACGCCATAAAAATTTTTAATATTAAAATAAATCCACGTTATTTAGGCCAATATTAAACGTGGTGAGCTATACAGATTTAAGATAACATCAATTTTTAAAAATATGTGTATGTGTGCTAAACATCCACTCATTTTGATGGCAGCCATAACAACAGTATCAATTTCAACAACCACAATGACACATCCTTTTTATCTTCAAATTTCTTTTCGTTCACTGAAGTACGAAGTATTCATATTCTGCCTGCTTTCTGATGAATGCATCTTTTGGGTCAGTAAATTGATGCAGGCATCCATGACACAACTAGTTCTATTTTAAAGAAAACTTGCTTTTATTTGCATAAATATGAAAGAAGGTAATTATGACCTTTTAAATAACTCACATCAATGAAGCACAATCAGTGGCAGAAGTCTAAGGAGAGTATTGCTCGTGACAAGAAACAAGAAGAAGACATACTTGTGGAAAGCCTTCTGAATTTCCCGTTGACTTGCATTTTTATCGACCCCAAGGACCTAGTAAATTCAAGCATGTGCAAATTAAGTATATACTCTTGTACAGCAATAACTAAATAAAAGTTTCTAACAAGAAAATACACAATTACAGGTGCATGATTATGTTACTTGCCATCTTGCTTGGAGACAAATGAAGAAAGAATTTACGAGAAAATCATTAATTGAAAAGCCAACTTTTAGAGTATGCCTAGCAATGATTTGTTGTTGAGACGAAAATCAAGTTCAGGCAAAAATATATATATATATATATATATATATTTTAACAAAATAAACACCACATCAAAATGCACTACTCGCAAGACCCAAACTTGGTCACGCAAACGGGCTATTTACATAAAACTGAACAAGGATTTCTTAGTAATGAATCCATTAAAACTAGTTATCTCAGTCAAACTCACCACAAGCGAAATTTAAGAATGCGTATACATCAATCATGAAAGTATAAGAACACATGTTCAGTATCTTGCCAATTATCCCTCAACATTCAAACAAGAAACCCCAAATTCGACAGCTTTCTGCCCTTAAAAATATGGAAGTCAGAACCCCCAATCGAGATCAAGCCTCATTACTAAATCGTAATAATTTCATCATTACACTAGACCATGGCGACTTCTCCAATCAATTTATCGACGGTAAGAGAGTAGTTTACACCAAGAGAAGAAGCACATACCTTGTAAGGATCTATAGTTTTCGCTTCCATACTCGCATGAAAACCCACAAAGGTCATTAAGATTATCCATAAACATAAATGGCGGGTCTTCATATTCGAATCAAAGCTTCACTAATCAGGTTTTCTGGTCCGAAGAGTGTGAAATTTAAACGGGAGTATTGGATTTGGGGAGAAAAAGGAATTTTTTTTTTCTTTTTCTTTTGCTTCTTTTTGTGCCTGAAAGAGCACAAACGAACGCTGAGGTTCGATAATTAAATAGGTTCGGTGTTAGCTGGACCAGGAAATCCAGATACTTCGAGGTTAAGGCCGTTGGTACACGTGGCAACTTATGGTGCTAACACGCATATGGACCAATCAGATTTTATAATGGAAAAATTTTTCCACATACCACACAATAAAATTTAAAAAAATTAATTCTTTAATCTTTATAATTTTAATTTCATTATAATTTAATTTTTAAAATTTTAATTTAATTATAAATCAATTCGTAAACTTTATTTCTTACAAATTAATTTTAAAAGTTCCAACATATTAAATATTTTTTTATATTTTAAAAAATACAATTATAAAAATTAAAAATATTTTAAAATTTATTATTAATATCTTAAATTACTAAACCCTTTTAATATTTATAAATATTAAAATTTTTTTTTTAATTTTATTTTTTAAAATATATGGATCAATATTTAAGAGGTTGAGATTTGATGGACTAAATTATAAGAAGCAAAGTTCAGAAACTTAGTTATAACGAATCAAAGTTCAGAAATTGAGTTACAACTGAATTAAAATTATAAGGACTAAATGATTATTTTTTTTAAAATTAATTGTTGTCAATTACCTTAGTTTATTTGTTAATAAATCTTGTAATAATTAATTTTTTTATGTAAGTTTTTAATATAATTCTTCTTTTTGTAATTGTCTAATCGGGAAATAACTAAGTGTGTATTTGGATAACCATATTAATCAAATTTTTGAAGGGAAAAAATTAATTTTGGCTTCAATTACCCAAACACCAGGTTTTTTGGTTAATCCATTTTTGAGGTGAAAATATATTTTTTTTGGAAGCTGCCAATCCAAGCTTTTCCAAAAGAGTTTATTGAAAAATGTTGGAGAAAATTACTAAAAAAAAGTCTACAAAAAATTATAAAGAAAGCACATAATTTAATAAAAATAAAATCAAACTTTGTATCATTAAAAAATTAATATTTGGTATTTAAGAATTAAATTATATAGCAATTTATATAGCTAAAATTAATTTTAATTTAATTATTTAAATATTTTTAATTTGTTAAAATTAATTTTAGAAAAATAATATTCAAATAAATTACGTTATAACATAATTAATTATTTTTATAATTTATTATATTCAACTAAAATTCAAACAGGACACGCTCTTATGCAGAAATCAAGGAACATCTTTACAATTTTTTTTTTTGGGGTAAAAATCTATCTACAATGTCATAAAATATTGTATTATTATTTTATATTTTTTAATATAAACGTGAAATGCATTCAAAATAATGAAGAAACAGGCGCTGGTCAGACAACAACGACGACGATGACGAAAAAGAAGGAGCAAAAACAAACCATTTCTTGCATCATTGGCCTCTTTCATATTATTATCTTATATTTTATAAAGAGTTTCCCCTCCCCCCTTTGCGCTATGCTTCAAAGAGAGCTAAACACCATATATTAGTAAGTAATACATTTTTTTTGATCTATTTTTCATATGAGTAAAAATTTCCTTATCAAGATTTATTAAAAAAAAAAAAGCTCGCTTGCTCAACTCTATTCGAGAAAAAGTATAAAAGTAAAAATATATTTCAATTTTTGTTATAAAAGTCATAATTTCATATATGCTGTATAAATTATAATATGTAAAACATAATACACATCTAATCTAATTTATTATAATAAACAATTTTGTATTAAAATAATTTGAGCACGTCATCTTGTTAGGATTTAAATTTTAGTTTGTCAATATTAGGAGAATGTAACACTTTCCTTAGATTCACCTTCATTGTCATTGGTGAAGGGATGTTTTATATTATAAGAGATTAAGAAATGTTTTAAAGGCTATCAGCCTATTATCAGATTCCACTTAACTGAATAAACATATACTTCTTATGTTAAAAAATACAAAACATTTTTTAAAGATTTACATGTTAAAAAATATAAAACATTTTTAATATTTTAAGATATAGTTGATATTTTTATCCTTAATAAATGAATCACTTTATATTTATTTTAAAATAAAATATCTTATTAAATAGAGGTAAATATAAAAAAAATATTGTTAGTTTGAAAATAATTACTTACTTTATTGAGATGTAATTGAGTTAAAAATATCTTATAATTTTTTAAAACAAATTGGGATATAATTTGGCAAATGCCACTAGTGTTGTCCCGCAAGATTTAAGGCTTAATTAATTAATTAATATAGAGATCAGGAATTTAAAAAATTAAAAAACATAGTTATTTTTCTTTTTTATTTTAAAAAGAAAAAAATTAAACAGAGTTAAAAGAATTTAGGAGGAAAATAAAATCTTCTTTCCAGGGGAGGGGACACTTTTCTTCTTTAGAATGATGTAAAATAGTTATGATGTTAATATTTTCTATTTTTATTACTAACGTTCAAAAAAATTAGTGCATATATACATATAGACAAATTTAATCATAATTTGCCCATAATTAATTTAAATTCCACTATTAATGTGAGAAACTTATAAGTACTCTTTCAATATAAAAATATATCCCCATCTTACTAAGCTTTTAAAACTCAACTCACCTAAACTTTTATTTATAAAAAAATTTAATCATAATTTAATTATAAAGGGTTAATTCATAAAAATTACTCTCTCAATTTTAGTTTATAGAAAATTTTTGGAGATTTAATTTTTTTTTAATATTACCCTTCTTATTTTATTATCTGCCTTCAATATATTTTTACAAATGAAATATTAGATTAAGAGTATTTTTGAACATTATATTTTTTTAAAAAAAATACAAAATTATGAAATATATTTAATAAACTTCATTGAAATACATAATTTTGTTTAAAAATATTTTATAATTTAAAACTATAATTTTATCATCTATTATTAAAATTGCTAGTTCCTAATTAAGCATATGTATATATCAAAAAAAACTTATATAATTAACCTCACATACTTAACGCATTTGTTTTTAATTGTTTTTAATTAAATTAAGACATAAATATGTTATATAAATTATTTATTCTATAATAAATTTTTGTCATTAATTTTATTAACACGTTAACTTGTCATAATTTGATTGAATATAATCATATCAAGTGCATAAACTTAAGTACATAAATCTTACCATAAACATATATACACATATATATGAGGCCTAAAGTAAATTCAGGACAACTTAAGTTACAATACTAATAACCATCATGATTTTCTTTTGCTAAACAAACCTGAATACTATGTGAAGCTTTAGGTTAAAAATCCTCCAAGTATAAGATCCCATCGATGAGCCCATCCTCAAGTGTCAGCGCATTCACATAGGAGACTATTTTCAGCTTCAGAAACAAACTTTCAGAGTATTTTTCAATAAGCATGCTCAAGCTCATGGCATTTGGGTCAAGGAATGAAAACTGAATTGTGCAAATAGAAATTAACATCAGAATCGATGTCTGAACTCTGAACACTATCACTAAACTCATATCCAAACAAATACAATTTGGTGAGCAATGTACCAAAATTGAGAAATGGGAAAAGGGTCGTGTGGGAGAGGAAAGGAAAGGAAGAGACTCAATCTTGAGAATCTGCACCATTTGTTGCCTCCACGGACTCACTTGCTGGCTCATCTGGCTTGTCACCCTTTTTACCTGTAAACAATTAACCATTAGTTTAACCCCCCAACAAAGCTTGTCCATAAGCACAGCAACTCATGAGTAAAACTAGGCAAAGATGTCTAGGCGAGCCTGATATGCTTAATGATGCCCTTTTATCTAGACTCCATTCATGAGTGATTAGATATAATCATTAAACATCTAAAATTTCTCCAAGATGAGACAGGCAAAAAATGCGCATGCAGCATGAGACAAAAATTGGGAACTAAGACGATCAACTGCACGCCACAGATGGATCTTGCCAAAAAAATTGTTTGAAATACTTAACAAATAGATTGAGCATGCCTTAAAAAAGTTCTCAAACATAAGACACAGGCAAATGTAGCAGCATATACAAACACAAGTCAGTAGGCAAATAATGTAGCACGAATGCACAATTAAGTATAATGAATCCTCAACTAGGTTAATCTCTGCCTTCTTTGTTTATTTCATTTTCACGCTTTACGCTTGCCTGTATGATTCCCCAAAAAATAAATAAATAAATAAATCTCAGCAGGAAGATTCAGGCTTCCAGCCTACCTTTCTTTTTCTTTCCACCACCTTTCTTCTTTGTTTTTGTGCCCAAGGCTAGCCATGCCTTGATTTCAGGATCATCTACCGTCTTTGCGGGTTGCAATTCCTGGAGAGGATGAGATGTGATACGGTCTGATCCGTTGGGCATTAGCAAGACTGTGAATTTGATGTGTGCAACAAAATCACCTGAAAATAGCGCAATATTGTTGAAACATTAGCAAGGAACACAGAATTCCAATCGGAATCTAGTCAGTCCACTGGCAATGTTACCAGGCTTTTCATGAAGAACGGGATATGGCTGCAAGAGCTCATGGTTCACACATTCCACCAATCCCAATCGAGCTCTTTTCTCTTCCAAAGCCCTGGTATATGAGAAATGATGTTGAGGAGTGAGAAGAAAATACATTTAAAATGCAACAATTTGAACATAGTATTGAAAACATTATTACCTAGCGGTGAACGGCATAATTGGAAATTTTTGGCTTATTTCACTGAAAATGAACCTAGATGCTTTCATCTTCAAGTGATAATTCTTGTCAACAGCTCTTTTATAGATAGTTGTCTGCTTCTCATCCAACAGCTTAGGCTGCAAGTGATGTGAAGCTATTCATGAGCAGCTGCAGCATTATGCTGATAAATGAATTAGAAAAAATATCATACCTTGCCTTCTCCAGTGCTTGCTACTATATCAATAGCATAAACTTCGTTCTCTTCAAACTCTGCATCGTCAACCCTTGTTTCTGGATTAGATACACTCAGCACAACCTTATTCCCGTCTATCACGAACTGCTTCATTTGGTGGCTAAGAACACCTTCAACAATTTTACAATCATAAGCAGCAG